ATATATATATATATATATATATATATATAGATATATAGATATATGTAGTCTCGACATCTTTTAAGATGAAGTTCACGTTGTCCTTGCTCACGTTGAAGTGATCTTTTTACTTAGCACGTAATCCGAGGTAACGGGAACGCGTTCATTCGTTCGTTCGTTCGATGGTTCGTTGCTTGAGCATCGAAAGGGTGGTGGTGGTAAAGGTGTAGGTAGGTAGGAAGTAGGAAAAGGGTCGTGAACTCTTTTTACCCGGTAACCTGGTGAAGTCGTAGGTAATCTCGTGGCACCGAGCTGGCTACGGTGAAAATCGATAATCGGTTGGTGCTCTTCCACTACCTTGACGTTTTCAACTACGTTACATGCCGTTGTCCGTTGTGTCACGCTTTGCAGTCCCCATGCACACACACACGTACACAAACATATGTGCTCGAGCAAATGCGTACATATATATACACTAATACACACATATGAGAACACATGCACGCATCAACTTCCAAGTGCAAATATACTGTTAGATAATCAGACGTTACCTATGAGATATATACATGTTCATATATGGAGATATATAGATACACTACCAACCAAAAGCTTAGTATCGTTTCCTGATTTTTTCTAACAAAATAAATATCGCATTAACCGATTTATTTTTTAAACTAAACAATTTTAACATTTTTTTAATACTCGTAATATTTTTGTACAATTCGTTTACCCAGTTTACGAACGTACTGAGAATTAATATTCTCACCTATGACATTTTTACCAATTTTTATTATAAAGCAGTTTTAAAATATTGCATTTGAAAAAGAGAATGCAATTCAAAAATTGAATATGAAAATTCAACTATATATTTTCTACTATAAGTAAAATACTCTTGTTATTCGATGCAAAAAAAATATTAATAATACAAAAGAAGAAAAAAGATAGAAGAAAAGCAAATGATAAACTTTTTTCCGACAAATAAATAAACCCCGTTTCGTGTTTTATTATGAAATATTATGTTTCTCAAAATTTAGAATAGAGTTTCGAAAACTTTTGGTTGATAGTGTATATACATGGATATGCATGTGCATACCAAAGCTAGGTTGGAAGATAGATATATATATCTATATCTATATATATACAAATGCATGTATATACATATAGGTATATGTATTTAGAGTGCTCCAGTTATTTCAGGTGTACCGTGAGAATCGCGTGTAACGTACTGGCACGTGCGATGCGCGGACGTTTCGTAACTGTGCAATTTTGTTAAATGCCAACGTCCTTCTCGATCGATTCTACCTCCAATATCGTTCCCGTCCATATTTCATCTCTCTTTCTCTTTCTCTTTCTCTCTCTCTCTCTCTCTCTCTCTCTCTCTCTCTCTATTTCAATGAGATACACTGACATCTCGATTAATGATTTTATGATAATTTATGCAGTCGTTCTCGTTGCTCAAATAATCGTTGAATTTGAATATCGGTTTTATTTCCATCCAAGTCATATTTTCCTAAAGTCAACAAGTTTCGAATACGTTTTCGGGTTTGCCTACACAATGCCAGGGATTTTATGAGAATAATATAATAAACGAGAATTTCTTGCTCTGTGTGATATCTTTTATGTAAAGTTCACGAAAAGTTTATACATTTCTTCTTTTTCTTTTTATTTCTTTACTTCATTCATATTTTCAATCTCGTTAGCATTAAATGTTTTACAAGATAACTTTTACTTATTCGTGCGTTACAAATTAACGTTACAATCCTTTTCATGTCTCTCTCTCTCTCTCTCTCTTTCTCTCTTTTTCGTTATTATATTACATCATTTATACTAAAACACAGATACATGTTATATACATAGACAGTAAGGTTTTAATATCCAGAACATAAACATAGGTAATACTCGATGCATGAAATCGTGCATCCAACAGCAGTTTATCTCCAGAGACTATATATCGTATGCCATTATCGAACGATCGATACGATTATCTAGTTGAACTAAAAGTAGGTATTTGGGTTAAAGTGACCCTTTTCTTTGTGGTCCTATTGTTTTATTTATTTTTAAATACAATGAGGATATTTAGTATTAATAATGTAAACGTTTTTCCAACAATTAGTTTGATAAATAACATTAAAAAGTATTTATTTTCTCTTTTTTTTTTCAATAATTTGTTAGAATAATTGTACAAATAATTTTCCATAGTAAATTATATTAGTAATACCCCGTTTGTTAAGTAGCGAGACAACGTTTGAAAGTAATTTTAAGGGGATTAATTGTAAGCAGATAAATAAATAGGGGTAGCAATGTTTGAAAACGTATTATGCTAAAAGTAAAACATAATTATATTAAGTATTTAAATCTCTCGCTTCCGCTGAGTCGAATAAAAAAGAAAAAAAAAAATTCCTACCGAAGTTAATTCTTTTTCCAATATTAAAATATATCCGGAGTTTCCTCTTTATATAAAAAAAAAAAATATATATATATATTATACAATGTCATCTCACGTGGAATCATTTAAGAGATATATAAACCTAATAATAAAACAAATTTTTCTCTAATAATATAGATATTTGATAAATAATTATGAAAAGTAAATTTGACATGTAAACATTACAAATATTTTTTGACTGATTTGCTATAATAATTATTTCAATTTTATCTATTCTTTATTTAATTATCAAAGTTATTCTTGAATATTATATAAAAAAAATCGAATTTTATATAAAATAAACCAAATGTTGTTACACACAAATACGAACTGTGTGTGTGTGTGTGTGTATCTGTCCTGTTTTGAAAATTATGGATTTCCTATGTAGACGAGCAGCACACAGTTGCGGTAACATGGGAATTATGATGGAATTATGGGGGTTAACCTAATACACGTCGGTGGTGGCACGAGAAGAAAATTTATAAGCATTCGCGCATGCCCAAAACGTAAACACACGAGCGCGATATACGATCGGTTGTTCCGCGAATGAAGAGAAAATAAGCATAGTGTGCTTTGGTTGTTATGGTGTTTGTCTCTCTGTTCCTCTCCCTCCCTCTCTTTATCTTTCCCTTTCTCTCTCTATGGTGGCCACAATGTTCCCCCATGGTAACTCGATAATGCATTATGGATACGTGAAATTCGAAGAGAATCTCACTCACCGCAGTACCGGAAAACACAAAGTGTTCAGTGTTCGGTTCGGTTCGGTTGAGTATCCGCGTGGAAGAGATCGTTTCACGCCTCACCGATGTTTCTCGTTCCCACGTTATCCCTTCCGTTACGTTTAAAAGAAAATGAGAAAGAGAAAGAAGAGACACAATGTGAACAAGATAATGAAAGAAACAATGATAGAAAAAGATGTTACTACCACGATCGATTCGACTCAATCTTATTTCTTTCATTCTTTCGTTAAAAACTATTGCGAATTTTTCATTTCAAGGCTCGAGGTTAAATTATGTGATTGTTCTTTTATGGTTACGATCGATTAAACTTTAAGTTTTTTCATGTATGAAAGAATTTGTGTCCTTGTTAGTGTATTCGTAGGAATATTAAATGATTTTATTTTTATTCAAAACTGAATTTATTATTTAGTTACTTTGAAAATATGTATCGTTAAATTTATCGTATATAAATAAATGTCTTTTTTTATTTTTTAACCTGATTTACTTGCATAGCTAATAAATTGCAAATGTATTTTTCAACCCATTAGTTATTTCTCGATAAATAATATTTCGTTTCAAGGTTCAAAGTTCAAGGTTCTTTTAAGGTTACAATTTAATATTTAAGTTGATGTTTTCTGATGCATAAAATAATTTTTTCTCATAATTTATTCAAAGGAATAAAAAGTGATATTAATTTTATTTGGTAGCTAAAAATAAGTAAATAAATAAATAAATTAAGATAACATAAATTATTTTAAATGAATATAGACAAATTTTATATCAACTAATACAACCCTTTCTTTTCACAAGACATTAAATTTTTTTTTTTAAATAAAATAAAAAATAAAAATTACAAAAGATCAAAACTGTAAATTACATCACACGGATAACAATCATTTCCTTTAAACTAAAGATAAATAAAACCTTTCAATATTAATCAAAAACTGAATATTCTACTTCGCAACATTAAGACAAACCGTTGTAAAAATTTATTACAAATAATAGAAAAGAAAAAAACCTTATCAATTATTCACACTTGAACCTAATTTGAAACGAATAAATAACAATATTATAAAGAGAGAGAGAAATAAAGGAACAAAAAAGAAATACCAAGAAGAAAAAGCTGGAGGATGGGGGGAGGAGGAGGAGAATATTTGCCCATCTAAAGAAGGTTTATTTTCATTTAACTCGACTCGATCCTGAGAGACTTATCCAATGCACTTTAAATCGTTTACACCATAGCCGACCCGACGGAAGTCCGTGTTTGTACTTGCTACCGCCAGGACGGTTTATACTGTCCGCAATAAAACTTAGGCGAGAGTAAAGTCGTCGACAGCGGTGTTTCTCAAGCGATCTTCGTCTCGTCGATGGCATTAGTACTTTTCTTTTTCTCTTTAACTCTCTTTTTCAATCTTTTTTTTTTCCTTTTTATCTTTTGTTTTCTTTTTCCTTTTTTTCTCATTTTACGATTTCCATTCCCGTTCTGGTGGAGTAACCCAATTAGAAAATCACTAAGTACGTCGAACGTTAAAACTCTGTGAAAGTTTGTTTTAGTTTGAAAGGACGTTTAGAGGATGAACGTTCGAATATAAACAGAAAATGATGAAGAGAAGGAAGAAGAAGAAGAAAAAGAAGACGTAGAAGAAGTAGTAGTAAAATAAGATGAGAAAGAAGAAGAAGAAGAAGATAAATAGATGTAATGAAAGATAAATCAAGCATCAAATAGTTCGACTGAAAAGAGACAAACTTGGATAATAATTTGGTTAACTGAGTCTACTGAGTTTTAATGCTTCGATATATCGTATCCATTAAAGTGGTATGCACGATCAAACCTAATTACAATGAATTCGTGCATTAGGGTTGATGCTTTCGTCCTTTCGTTTCTTCGTTCCTTTGTTCGCTCGTTCGTTCGTTCATTCGCCATATTGATTAATAGATATGTGTCATTCCTTTGAAGGGATATCTGAAACAGGATAATAAATCGATTTAGATAATGTATTTCTGTATAAAAACATGTGTTAAAAATTAAGATTATAAATAAAAACACATATAAATTATTTTTAACATTCCTGTTTAAACAATCTGATTTCGAGAGTTCAGTTGTGTACAATAAATAATATATTTTTTAATGTAGATCCTTCTTAATTTTATTTTTATTTTATAAGAATTTCTGTAAGCATAAATAATTTGCAATTATTATAGAAATGGAATACTAGAATCCTAATTGTTTAAAAGTTTGATTTCAAGTATCTAATTGCATAAAATATAAATAAAATACACTATCAATATAAATCTTTCTTAATTTTACTTACCAAATCTATTACTAACTCATTTTACTTATTATATATTAATTTATTACTTTTATAATAATTTATTAATTATTATAATATATTTACTTATTATATATATTTATTTATTTACTAATTAATATAAATTAAGTTTTACTTACTTAATAATTTACTAAATATTTAATTTTCTAATATACACTTATATAAAATAAATAAAAAATAATATTACTTTTATTATATAAATATTATTAATTTTATAATTTCTCGATATTACTTCATTTCTCTTTTACAATATAATATTTTTTTTTTATAACCTAAAATAATTCACGATTAATATCAAGGAAAGACTGATTAACTTCTGTCATAGTCGATTTAATTAAATCATTAATAAAAGGAAGATCTTCATCTCGGTCTCTTCAGTACATCGATAAGAGATTCCACTCATCTCGCGACATTGATACACGCACCTCCATAAAGCATTTTGTCTTGACTATAAGAAAGATAGAGAGAGAAAGAGAAAGAGACAGAGAAAGAGAGAGGGGAGAAGTAAGAAAGTAGTGGGGGTCAGAGGTTATCGAGACCCACGATTTCTCATCGTTCGTTTCTCGATGAGATGCTAACGAACCTTCTTCCTTCCTCTCCCCTCCCTCCAACCCTTCTTCTTCTTCACCTCTCTCTCTCTCTCTCTCTCTCTCTCTCTCTCTTATCTTAGTACCGTTTTGCAAGACGACAGGAAGTCACGTTAAAGGATCGATCTATCTATCGATCGTTTGATCTTACGATCGATAAATTGCATTCTATCGTCAAGTCAAAGAACCCAAAACTATCAAGGATGAGGAAACTCTACTACACTTGACAATATCGATCTCTCGATGGTGAGCACACTAACTCGACCTTCTTCTTCTTCTTCTTCTTCTTCTTCTTCTTCTTCTTGATTCCTGGACCTCGTACAAGGTATTTTTCGAGTCAAAGGTCAAAGGCAAAGAACATCGATCAAAGTTTTCGCGCGATTTACTCCTAAGACTTGAGCAATAACGAACCGAAAACGTTCCATCAACTTTTTCCATATCGTTTCGGTCTTTTAAACGAAAACCGGTTTCCTACTCTTACTTCTTACTCTACTTTTTTTCTTCTTTTTTTTCTGTTCATTTTTTCTTATTTTTATTATTTTATTTTTTATCTTTAGTTTTCTCAACATTTGCTCAACGCGTCCTTGGAACAATCTCTAGATTGGGCAACGACGACTAGGGATTTTTCATTCTTGAGACCGATTAGTTTTCTTTCCTTTTTTTTTTTATTAGATATTTAAAGAAAAAGTTAACAAATCATATGGTATAATAGTTCAAAGGTTAAATGGGTTTGGAGGTTTGATTAATTGATTTTATATAACGTTTGATTCTTAGTTATTTGAAGCAATAAGAAACATTATTAGACCTTAGCAATAATAATATTTGTTGAATTGGTTATAACGAAAATAGTAGTAATTAAAACATTATATAGAAAATAATTTATTAGTTTTTTTAATTATAAATTTATTGGCATTGTATTAAGTATGAATTTTTTTGATTCTTATATAATTTTTATTATTTTTAAATATAATAATATTATTAATTTATAATAATGAAATAATATTATATTATAAATATTTTTTTTTATTTACTTAGCTTTATTTAATGTCGCATCGGGGATTATTAGCGACATATAAATATTATATAAGGAAATTAATAATTTCATATAATTTTTAAAGATTCAGTAATAAATACCATTGTATTACAGTATTATTAAATATTACATATATTTTATTAATCTTTTCTTCCTATAAAAAATTATATAATTATTAATATATTAATATTTAACACATATCTATTTACATCAACTAAAATAATTATTCTATTATAAAAATCTATATTTCTTTCCTTTTTTTTTTTTAACTTTTAAAATAACCTATATTAATATTTTTTATATTATATCGTAAAATTATACTTCAAAGCGTATCCACTTTCTATGATATTTCTATTTAGTTAACAACTATATTTACAATGAATACAATTTTTTTACCTTCCTTTTTTTAAATGGTCTATCACTCGCCTAATCAACTAACCAAAAATAAAACCTAGGTGAAACGAAAAAAATAATAAGCCTACTTCTAGAATATTTCTATACCATCCTATATATATATATACACACATATATAAAAAGAAAAAATAATACATGGACGTTCGACGATTCCGGAAGTTTCACATTTCTTCTTCTGTGTTTGTCCAAGTGCGCGCGACGTGCGCTTCTATAGGAGAATTGTTTTGCCACCTTCGAAAGAGAGAAACTCTTAGAGAGGGTCCTAATGCATTTCACGACGACACGATCCTCCACCCTCGTAAATTGACACCATTTCACACCCACCCTACTATTCCGTCCTTTTATTTCTTTTTCTTTCTCACTTTTTCGAGTGTTTTAACAGCTTGGAAATGATACTAACCGATTTTTTCCTTTCAATTCAGAATCAACCTATTTCTAAAGTTTTCTGATCTTGACGATTAACACATTTCACACCGTGTGCATCATTTTTCTATTACATAACCTTATTTCCTGTTCAAGTAATATTTTTGTCTTTGTGTAATAAACAAAGTACGAACAAATCTATTATTGGTTTTGTTATAAAATTATTTGTTTGTCATACAATGCAGTTTTTAATTCCAACAATTATTCCTAGAATAAATTAATAAACTATTCAACAAAGAAAAATATGTAATTTATTAATATTCATCAAACTTTATATGCTGTTATTGATGCACGTGACCTAGTGATGATACTTGTTCAATAAAAATATTGAACAGATGGTAAAGAAAGAAGGGACAAAAAGTTGGAGAAAATTCTTATGAACGGATCATCCCTCGTAATCTTTCTTCTTCATCATAGTTCGTTATCTCTATCTAACATGGAGACGGTGTTTCTTGTAATACACATTATCGAACGTTGTATAATATAACGTGACTCTAACTCGATTACTTCTATCTTTAGGACAAACAGTTTAAGTTTTGATCCGCTATTACCCATGCGATAACGAGAACATTAACTTGAAAATGAAATTACTCTGAGAAGCATCGAGTTAGTAAATATAGTGAAACAATAAACGACCCATTTTCATCTTTTAAAAGAACTAAAGAAACAAAAAAGAAATGAAAACATCACTAACAATAATAAACATTTAACGTTAAAAATCATCACATTAACGATCACAAAAGATTAAAATCTTAAACCTAACCTAAAATATTGAAGACAACTGTTAAAAAAAAGGATTATTGAAACTTAGTGCAAATTTTGTTGTTTTAGGGAAGGGACGGCTTTACCCGGCCTACAGTCTGAGTGGCAGCGAGGGTGAGGATAATTCCCCTAGTCTGCGTGGTCGTAGTTCAGCCTATCCTCAAAATAATCATCAGACCACCCAGTCACATCTCAATCACTATAACGCTAGTCAGCACAAGCAACGTGCTTACCAGCAGCAGCAACAACAACAGCAACAACAACAACAGCAACAGCAACAACAACAGCAGCAACAACAGCAGCAACTGCAGCAACAGCATCCCCTTTATTATATGCCCGGCAGTGGTGCCGGACTCAGCGACACACCGACATCGGGTAACGCTTCTGACGAAACCCTCACCGACAGCGATCTGATCACCGCTGCTCGTGACTGTGCCCTGCTCGTTCATAACGGTAAGTGAAACGCGCCACACAGCATACTTCCCAAAACGATATGGATCGTGTATAATACCTACGATAACATGATACTCGACGCTTGTCAATCATCCTACGTTTAAGCGTACTCCATATGCTCCCTATATTGGGTTTTACATTATTATCAATAACAAATTATTATATCTAAGATTTTTAATCTTCCTACCCCTTTTTCTCAGACTATTCATATATATTTTGTTATTATTTCAAACTAATTTTGAACAGCAGTACAGATTGTAAACTCATTTATAGGTTATGGGACACATATTATAGAAAGATATGTGGACGCCATATTGGAAAATACAAATTTTTGTATACAGATAAAAGCTTGATATTGGTATAATACTTTTAAATCACATGAATAATAATATTAATTTTATAAAATTGTGTTAATAATATAATAAGTTTATATTATTAATTTGTTAAACAAAGAACATTTGACATTCAGATAGAATTTATTTAAATTAAATGTTTATTATATTTAAAACAATTAACTTTGTTTGAAACTTGAGTTTTTTCTATGATTATTAAAAAATTCTGATAACTTGGATTCAATAAATATTAATCATTCATTAATGATTTTAATGATATTAAATTTATACTGAAATTTCATCCTTTCAAAACTATGTGGAAATCATTTTAGAGGACAGAAATTCATTTCAATACATAGAAAGATATTATTATAGAATAGTTCTTAAACTTATGTAATTTTTTTACATTAAAATCAATTTGAATTATTCATTTGATAGTTTAGTATGGTTGTGAGTGTTCTTTTCTAAATATGGCATCGCATTCAACCTCATTTTTCTTCTAAATTATGTGAATTATACGTGGTCTACCTATTCTCTTTCCTCCTATCCAGAAATTTGTCATTGGAAGCCAAAAGGTTTCCATTAAGTTTATTGCTTTTTCAGAAGTTTAAATTATTCCGACATTTTTTTTTCACCCTACTTCGTACAGAAAACGTATACATATATCATTTTTAGGAATTATTCAAAATAATATTGAAACTTTTTCATTAAACTTTTGCATCAACTTTCTATTCACTTTGGGATCATCTAGTTTACTATAAAAAACACGCACACATTATATTCAACACTTAATCTTTAAGCTCTAAACAAAAATTAATTCCTAAATTAAACAAATACTATTCAATTGTAAAAACCTAATTTTAATCTTTTAATTATCGGATAATCATATTGTCAAAATCTGTATGATAAATGTGGTTGTTAATGATTCTGTTAATAATAATAAATTTTTACAAATAAAAAGAAATGTTAATTTTTGCATTATTTAAAAATTAAATTATATAATAATATATTTTCCATTAACACAAATATCTTCAAAATTATTTTACATAAAATAAAATAAAATAAAACAATAAATAAAATAAACATATTATAAATGTATTTATAAATATAAACATACAAAAAATAATATCAATGAACAAATAAATGTAAGAATATATTCGTAAATAATTGTTTAAGTTCAAGTAGGTTGACCAGTACAGAGTCGGTCATTCGCAATAACGCGAAATCGTGTCTCTACATTACTCAAACATGATGGATGGGTTACACTGCGATGAGGTGTGAGGCCACACGCGGGGGTTTGTCTAGGACGGGGTAGGAAGGGCGGTGTATATGGATGTGGATATAGAGAAGGGAAGGAAGCAAAAGGGGTGGGTTATCGGCACGCTGGCTTGTCAGAAATGACGTATCGCTTTGGAGCTAGGTATATATGTACATAGGCCGCTGCTTGCGTAGCTTTGCTTCTAACTCTACGTTCTATACTATCCTATACCACCTTACTTGGACATACCGCACCTGGAAACCTTCCTAGTTTCCGACAAGTCACCCGAACACTTGCGCGTGAAAGGGATATATCATGGAACGTTGCCTCGTCCTGTGGGATCGCTAAATTAAGAGTCCTTTGATGATACTAGAGAATATTATCATCCATGTTGATTTCAAATTGACATTCGATAAATTAATATGAAATTTAACGATCTAAAATATTATCTATATTCATTAATACTAATCTAATATTATTATTTTATAATTATTAATTATTTCATAATTTTTAATTATATATTAATTTTTACATGGTTTGTACATAATGTTTATAAGCATTGTTTGTTATTTTGAGATATTATTTGAAAAAGATTAGTTAAGTATTTTTAATAATTTAATTACATGGAATTTAACGTGTTGCAATTTTATTCAGCTAAAAATTTGAATATTAAGCAAAACTACAATATATATATATATATATATAATTTAAATAAATATATTATATATTAAATATTACTATTATAATAAATTGTTGCATGAATTTCTACACAGTTACAAATTTTAAAAATTCTATAAAATCAAACGACATTAACTAGTACTCATACTCAGTTAAAGATATTAAAATAGGGCAGAATTATAATACCATTTAAAATACTGACGATCAAATTTGCATTGCATGCTGTTACTATGTTAATTAAGAATCTGAAGTTCTAAAATTCATCAGATAAAACTCATAGATAAGTCCATTTAAAATATTTCATTTAACTATGATTTGATTTCTTCTACTTTTTCTATACACATTTAAACAAAGTTTAATACTAAATAAATATTATTTATGTACAATAAATGTGTCTATATATATATATATATATATATTTTATAAAAAAGATAATTATTTTTCAACGAAAATAAATGAACTCTTTAATCTAAGATGAAAGTCAAGTGAAAAAGATCTATGAGTCCAAAGAGTTCTGTTAACGTTAACGAAACGAAACGATTTCATTTTCCGGAGTAAGAGAAACACTTAACGGTGCTTTTCCGTGGAAGCACGTCGTCCATTATCACTGCGGAACTTATAAATATGGAATGAGGTAAGATCTGTACAGAATGGTAGCTCTCGGTGACTAAACGAAAAATACCAGAGTGAGAGAGACAGAGAGAGAGAGAGAGCGATTCTTACCAGATAAAAGCTAACCTTTTTTACACATACAACCTAGCAGTAGCAGCCACAGCAATATACCACCACAAAATATACGATCCTATTTCATAGAAATAAGTAAAAAGGGATGTTCGAGTGGTTCATAACAATTGATAATAATCATCTATCCAATCGACAACAAACCTAACGCATTAGTATCTCAACTTAAGCTGAATCACAATGACTGTTCACGAACATTAATCGAACGTACGTACACCAAATTGTGAACTAAAGAATAGCAAGCAAGCAAGTAAGCAAGTAAGCAAGTAAGCAAGAAGCGGTAAAAATGAAAAATAATCCCGAACGAATTTCAATCTCGAGCATGACGACAACCATTGAGATATGACGTACGCATCCTTTTCTAAAAGCACATCACATCAACATAACGATGTGCTTATTCCTAACCATAGATATACACAACATCATCCATCATCTTACACGCCTAGATACTACTTTCTATTCTTCCACGAGCAAATAATTCTAACCTCACCCCGCTTGGCACTGGCACCCCCTAGCTCCAGTCCCAGACCCAGCCCTAGCCCCACCACCACCCATCTTCATTCCAGCACCCCTACTCGTGTGTCACGGACGAGACACATCCTGTGAACGCATAATACTAGTGCTCGATTCAACCTCATCTCCCGGTTAACCCCCTGGTTCCTCTCGCACCCTCTCAATCTCTGTCTCTCTCCCTCCCCTACCCTCCCACCCCCGTTGTACGCATAAACGCGCAATTACGTGCTATACGGATTAGCATGACAGTGGGAATCATCGTGTCATCCGGAGGGCACATTAGGCGATTGCATTAACGCTCTGAACGCACAGACTGCGCTTCCGTGGATTAATATCCAACGTCTTCGATCATACCGACAGGACATTGTTTCCCTCAAAGATGAAATACCACTACTCTCTTATGACATGATATTATCGATTAATTCCATCGTGGATGTTGTATGACTTATCTATTACGAATGATCGAATATGTATTTAATTCTAATTAAAATCAAAGCAGAAAAACGTGATATAATTATTCTCATCAAATCAACATCGTTATTTAAATTATTATCAGCATATACATGAATTACTATAATGATCGATCTATCCAAATGACTATGCTTTATTCTGCAAGCGTGACGAATTTAGCAAAGTTGCAAGGGTACGTTAATGAGCCGGAAGTAATCCTTCTCTGGGTATTCATTCTAACCTCACTTCTCTTCCTTACTTCGGTCATGGGGTTCCGGTTTAGGGTTATTATAGATCGTACAACGTTAAATTCTACTTGCTAGAGCTTTAATAGAACGTCATCGAAAATGTTTTTGAACCCTCTCTCTCTCTCTCTCTGTCTCTCAATCAAGCTAACATCAAGAGAGAAATCATCCCTTAGAGTTTTATCGCGAACAAGAAATATTTCTTTTCCTTTTCGTCTTTGTTCATCCCCCTTTTTGTCTTTCTTTTTTTTTTCTTCTCCCCTCTCAAAGTCATTTCTGTTCGTTCTTTTTAAACGAGTTATCTCTCGGTCTTGGATAATTAATCTCACTCCCTGTATATTGCTTTCTTCCTACGGAACATTAGTTTCCTGTGTATATATCTCTCATGACTCTTCTTCTTCTTCTTCTTTCACYACTTCTTCTTCTTCTTATATTTCTGCTTCTTCTAATCTTTCCACCTTCATATCTCCTAACGTCATCCTGAAAATAATCTCTCGATGTCACTTGATCGAACGACCTTTCCTTGTAAATCTCCAACGAGAGTTCGAGCGTAATTTCAAAAAAGCAAGAGTTAGTGTATGTGTATGTGTGTGAGAGAGAGAAAAAGAGAAAGATTGAAGATAGAAAAACGAAAATATTTGCACGGGAAAATATAACACTTGAGAATACAAACATTAATATTTAACGAAAACGTTCAACAAAATCGTACACATTATTAATTACATCATTCATAATAAGCTAATTATGAACCATTAAACAATTAAAAATCATTTACAATAAATTAGATACAA